GTGAATTGATGCAGATTTGGAAGTCTCCTTAAACAATTACCTCTTTTTGGTCTGATATTTGGGAGGACGAAGTACACTCCAATCTAATTTTTCGCGCTTATGTTGTTTCTGAGAACTGCTAGTATTTGGTGTTGAATCTTGGTTGTCATCATAATTCTTTCTCGACTTATTTGGATATTGTGCTTCCAAGGCAACGTCACCTTGCTTCCTCTTATAATCACCATTTCCAGCTCCGATTAATGCATCCAATTCCACATTTTCAGATCTATACTTTAGTGCCCCATTTTCTCTGTATAACAATGGAAACTCGGTTACATTAAAGAATCAAGAGCGTGATCATTTAATTATACGTTCTCTTCGCCACACTGATCATTCACAGAAGGCCCAACCATATATAACTTTAAATCAACAGAAAATATTCCATAATTGCATGATAGCGCCTTCAATACAGAGGATTCGAGGAAACTTTACAATCTTAATCATATAACACCCACAAAGTCTTATCATATTAAATGACAGATAGTTTTATAGAATATACATCTCAGCATCTGGTAATAGCTACTTCAGCACAAAGAGTATTTTCAAGAAACTTACAGCCGAAAATTGATGTATAGACCCAAAAAACTATGGTAAAATATAAAAGAACTCAAGGTTCAAACAGAAACTGACCTTATTGATGTTGCTTCGTTTTGTCTGTCAGAACTTGTAGCAGCAGAGTCAGAGGCCACATCATTGAGTTTCTATAGAACAAACCTTAGAAATGAGAATCAAACCACAAAACATGAATACTCCTTACAAAATTGTATCCATTCAAACCATTTACTCACATCAATGGATGGGTTAAAACTTAAAAATGACATGCGCCCTCTACACGCCCCAGGATGAGGATCACCTTCAACTACGACAACACTGCATGTGAACAGGCACAAGAAAAAAAATGAAGAAAAAAAGGTGGCCTATAAAGCACAATAAAATCCACAGTATACTTATTGCAAGGTAGTGACATGAGTTAACCAGGGAAATCTAACGAGACGTATTAAACACTAGAGTGAAATCTCATCATAAATAAAACATGTCTATTGAGTAGCTGCAATCATTACACTACAACATCCTGGTCGGCAAAGATATTAAAACCAGCATTAGTCACCTTCTCTTTCACATAAAATATTAAATTAACCATGTGTTTGAAATGTCTTCTAATATTCTCTAGGCTTGCCTCGCTGCTAAATACATAACTGCAGGTATAGCCCACAAATTAATGAATACTTCTGCCATCTTATTCCCGACTCTTCCACCAAACAGTATACGATCACAATATAAGTTCCTAGTCTTATTCGTATTCCTCTCAAGTCTCAACCAGCACAAGCCAATATATAATATTCTGAACAATATCCTAGCATTTAATTCTTTTTGTCTCAAAGATAGCTATCATGGGCTTTTCATAAAAATAAAGTCTAATGTCACACCATTAGCAAATGTCCTGTGCAGGAAGTATAACATAATATAATGCATAGGCTATGTGAAGTATCAATTTGTTTGATTGGGTCAAAGCAAAAATGAATGAGGTTCTCTGCCCACTTTCAATTTGTTAATGGAGCTTCAGATTCTGCTAT